TCACTTTCATTAATCTTATCCCATTTATTTTCTAGCATAATCTGGACAATTAAAAGCCTTACACCAGTCAGTGAAGCCAAGGTGAACCTTCTGAAATTGTTTTATCCTTCCATTAACCCTGATTTGTTTATTAGAGCTTATACCGTCACTTCAGTTAGAAAGTGTGCATTTACTTGTTTCTCTACAATAAGAAAGTTAAATAATGCCAGCCTCTTATTTCCTTCTGCCTTTTCTGAAACCTTTCTGTTCATTTGGCTTCATGCATAGCAATTGTATATTCTTCTTTAAAAGTTCTTAACCAATCTTTCTTTGCATGAGTTGATCCCTGAGCATAGTGTCTTTTTACAAATGTTTCTATCACTCTGCAGTGCTATTTGTACAGGATTTTGGTATAGTCTTCCCATTTTCTTTTAAACTTGGTTGGCTCTATTAGATCTTTCTCATGTTTACTCTTGAGTGCCCTAATTTAACTGTCCATTGCCGCTGGTTTTTCTGATCTTTTTTCCACTTTTTGTTGTAATTGATTTAATCCTTCCTGCTTGATTCTGAAAGTCTGTCTTTACTTAGTCATTACTTAGTTAGCCTTACTGCCCAAAACTTTCATTTTCCATTTGGTCATTTTTACAATTTGGGAGTTTTTCCTGCTTCATTTTTCAGTGTCTTATACTTTTCATGTACATCTTCAAGTTCTTTTTCATACAGAAGTATATGAGTATGTTCCTCACATTGAGCTAACATTCTGACTGCCTACTAGCTTCAACTATATCAATACAGTTTGTTATGGGATAATAAAGAACTGGTTTGTTATTAGGTTTAGGTTTATTAGATTTATATGCCGCCCTTCTCCCAAGGACTCAGGGCAGCGTACAACATTAAAAGAAACACATAATACAAAAGTTAAAAAAATTAAATAGAATATCCCAAACCCAATTAAAATTGACAATGACATTTTTTTTAAAAAATCGAATTAAAATTAACAGTGATCAAGAATTTGTTTTGTTTTGTTCAGGCCAGGCTGGCTTGCTGGAAAAGCCAACTTTTTAGGGCGCGTCGGAAGGACCGGAGGTCAGGGATTATACGAAGCTCCGGCAGCAGCTCATCCAAAGGGAAGGCACTCCCATATTGCCTCCTTTTGGATTGAGGTTGTGCTATAAACAATAATTAAGTAAATGTATTTAAATAAATTATATCCAGTAGCATTTCTAATCAGAAAGAAAAATGTTTCCAGTATAGGCATTGGACAATATTTATCTTTTTCTCTTCAGGCAACTGCTGTACATGTTTTTAATTGCTTTTACAATTACTTGGCTTAAGAAAACTAAATAAGCATTATTGTGTGGAAAAAGCCAAATCAACTTTATTGAGTGGAATGCATATGTGTGTATTGAACTTTTGAAGCATCCATACAGCCCATCCTAGTATTCCAAATCAGAATATGTTATGCAGAGAAGAGAAACAGGACAGGAAATGACATACCAAAGTAATTAAAAGCCATGAAATGAGATGAACTTCTCCATACCTTTCTATCTTGGCTAATCATCCTTGCTTCTGACATGTTTGTTTTGTATTTTAAAGAACAACTCATTTTTCCCCATCTGATTCATTTAATCTTGTTAATCTTTCCCTTCGTCTTATCATATTTAATCTTCCTTAATACATCAGTTCCTTATTTATATGCTCTATATGACCAAACTACTGTACCTCAATATATTTCTTTAAATACTGGATATTCAGTATTGTATTCAGTTCATATTCACTCAGCATCCATTCATTTTACCATTCTCTTCAGTAATGTACTCCTGTAATCAGTTGTCTTTTATTTTTCTTCTGATATAGGTGATCCTTTTGTTTAAATTTATAAGCTTCCGTATAGGTAGAAACATACAATTGTTTTCACTTGTTTCAATATGCATATTTTAGTATAAACTTTCTGCAAAATTTCTTCCCTGTATAAGGAAAGAACAACCATCTTTCTTCATTTTCATCTTGTTTACTTGCAGCCTTACAGTTGTTCAGTGTTCTTCTATAATACTTATGAGTTTTTAGCATGTCTCTCTGATGGCAGTGCCTTAGTTAGGCCATTTCACCAACTTCCAAAACAAAATGTTTCGTATTTTTACTGCCTCTCACCTTAACTGCTGCTTACTCTCTCTGACTATATTCTTAGTAACTATGTCTTTCTTCATTTGCATATTATACAATATCTTTCCACATGTTTTTGCAGCAATCATTCTCCATTTCATAACCCTATCAAACATTTCACAACTATGGACTATTAAAATCTCATTTAATTTATGTGTTTTGAATCAATGTAACTAAAATCTGCTAACTTAAAAAGTGGGTAAATATACCAGGATCCACTATTTCTGTGGACTTGTAATTTCCACTATATTCAGACCAATTTTATTTTAAAGTTGTGACCATTGCAACATCTTGATGATTTCTGCCGATTTCCATAAGAAAAATCATTGGGGAACCTGGCAGGAAGTTAAAAGTTGTTCCTGCTTCTACTGTGTTTTTTTTTGCTCGTTGTTATTCTGTTTATTTCTTATTTCTTTAGGTAAGTAAATATTGACTAGTTATTGAAATTGTACCCCACAGTAATTGTTTTTCTATTTATGATTCATGCTCTTTGTAAATGATCATGGACCATCCAGTATTGAGGTTAAAAAATATGGTCTGCTTAAAGTATAATGTTCAGTCTGGTCCCCTCAAATTTCACTGCCTTTCTCTCAAAGGATGACCCAACAGGTTACAGGATTGTCTGGAATTTTTCATTAGCATTGTATCCTCACTTCTAGAGTATAGTGTGTGGGTTTTTTCTTTTTTTTATTTTTCTTTTGATATCTCTCTTGGTCGTTTTAAAGCTTGGTTTTGTCATTGGGCTTTAGAACCTGGATTTGTGATAGAGCTAAACAGTGTGTTGATTATTTTTGATGGGTTTTCATAGATCTCAGCTGTGGATTGTGTTGGATGGATTTTTTAAACATTGTTCTTATACTTAGCGGGTTTTGCATTTTGCTTTTTCATACTGGTGTTTTTTAATTGCTCTGAGCTGCTCAGAATCACATAGTTGAGAAGGACAGCTCTGTACATTGAAATAATAAATACTGTATATTCTTGTGGATAAGCTGACCCTTATTAAATGTTTAACCAAAATATGAAAAATGGGCTGCCCTGGATAACCCAATCTTGACATTTTTGTATGTTTTAATTTTCACAATTGGCTTATGCATGGGTGGCACATTTTCCATGCTGTTGTGATTTTAAAAAGTTATTGTATCTGTAGATGGGCTTATACAAAAGTGTATACAGGATACATGGGTACTTTTAAAAGGTAAAGGAAAAATCTAGCATATATATTCACAGCTAGGCTCATCCATAGATAAATCAAACCCAACTTTGGGGGTGCATTTTACCACCTAAAACTCTCATAATCAATGGTGGGATTCAAAAATTTTTGCTACCGGTTCTGTGGGCATGGCTTGGTGGGCATGGCATATCTTGGTGGGCATGGCTTGTGGGCATGGCTGGGGAAGGATACTGTTAAATCTCCATTCCCACCCAACTCCAGGGGAAGGTTACTGTAAAATCCCCATTTCATCCCAATCAGCTGGAACCCAGGAGGCAGAGAATAGATGGGAGTGAGGCAATTCAGAGGTGGTATTTACCGGTTGTCCAAACTATGCAAAATTCCTGCTACTGGTTCTCCAGAACTGGTCAGAATCTGCTAAATACCACCTCTGCTCACAATACAGTATACAGTAAATAAAATTTCAGATTTCCCTTTGATAATTTATTGAGTGAGTCTCAGTAAATAGTTTTCTCTTTGCCATAAGGAGAATAGGAGGATAAAATGAGTTAGAAATTATATATGCCAGGTGATTTTTGAAAGGTTAGAATAAAAATACATTTAATTAAAAATAACTGTTCCATGGTTATGATTTTTTTAAAATTCCTAAGCAGAGTTTTCAAATTCTGGCATTTAAATTGTCATTTTTCTTTTGAAATAAATGAAGTAATCATCAAAACAACCAAATAATAGCAATTAAACTGCATAGAATCTGAGAAATTTCCATGCGTAATGAACTGGATAATGGGCTTTGTCATAATACTACATAAAACACTGAAATAAGTTATCAGGATGTAAATGCTATTTATTCAATGAGAATATTTGAAAAGAAAAATGCCTAGGATTTACAAAATGAGTTAGTGACTGGTGAGTCTGCATTCATTTCTCATTTCTGCCAATTTTCTATGCAGTTTTAGGGAAGTTTTTATTTGCTTTTCTAGTATAATCGTATTCTCTTTCCAAGGCATATTTAGAACACAATAAAGCTTTTTTATTACTGTATTTACAACATTTTAGAGTTTCCATTAAATATATATACAATTACAGCTTTATGATCCTCTAAACACTTGCCATAAATCTGTCCTGTAAAATCAACATATATAAGATAGTACTATTAATTACATAAGAAGAAAAATTTAAATTGGTTACTTCATTGGAAGAAAAACAAATTAGTTAGGCAGAATGAAGTGGATAGAGCCATGGGTAGCATTAGCGTTAACATTAGATCCTCCTATGCTGTGTAGCACTTTGGGCCACAAGGCATCTCCAGCATTTTCAGTCTTGGTGAGTTCTGCAGCGTCTTTTCATATGATGTTTAGAGTTCAGCTCTTCCATGAATGTTCACTATGTATTTCAAGGGTGTCCCTTTGATGGTCATTTGGCATCGGGGTGTGTGTGTGTTCCATATCATTGCCATCTGTGGAGATTCGATGGTTCTCCCTGCAGAGAATTTGACCTGCAAGTTGGTGTCTTCTGCGTGTGACAATGTTATTTAGTTTGCAAGATAAATTCTTTTGGAACACTTTTTTGTTAATAAGTTAGATTAGAGTCATGGGTGGGATGGCAAAAGTTTAGTTAAAAATGCAAAAAATGGCAACAACTGATAAAAGGAAGATATAGTTAATCTACTTTTTATTATTATTTTAAGAGATGAAATTGGATTAATCCCCTGCCCTGAAGCCAGATATAATCGAAGTCCAATAGTTCTGGTTGAAAACAAACTTGGAGTGGAAAGCTGGTGTGTCAAATTTCTTTTGCCCTATGTCCATAACAAACTTCTTCACTACAAACTAAGAAAGCAGTGGCTCAACAAAGAAGGTAAGTTACTTCGTAAAGTACAAAATATTGCTGTCATAAAAGCTTTTCCCAGCTCATATATGTTATATCACCCATACCTTCTTTAATACTCATCTAATCATTCCCAGCTATCCTCAGACGAATATTTCTGAATTCTCAACAAATTTGCAATCAAAAGCATGATTGCACGATTAATATTGCACATAGTTGAACCCTTTTTTTATGCTGAAAAGAATCAATGGAATAATCCAGAGGCCTTTTAGCATATGATTAGCTCATCAGTACTCTAGGCCGTCCCTTGTGTACATGATTATTGGAAACAGCGCTGCAGCTGAAGAAATAGCAGTAATGATCTTGTAAAGCAACTAGAATTTAAATATTTTGAAAATTGTTTTGAAAATTGGCAGGGCAGGAACCTAACGCATTTCCTGTGAACCAGCTCCAGGTAATCGTTGACTTGCAACCATTTGTTTAATGACCATTCATGGTTATAGAGGCATTGAAAAAAGTTATTTACAACCAGTCTTCACCCTTAGAACGATTGCAGCTTCCCCATAGTCCTGTGATCAAAATTAGGGCACTTTGTGATTGATATGTACTAAGGATGGTTGCTGTGTTCCAGGGTCATGTGCCTAAGTACCGTATTTTTCGGAGTATAAGACGCACCGAAGTATAAGATGCAGCAAGGTTTTGAAAAGGAAAATTTTAAAAAAAAGTTTTTGCCCTCTGCAAACCTCCCCCAAATGCCCTATTTTTTCACGAAAGCCGTCCCCTTTTTTTTAAAAAGGGCATGAATATCCCTTAGGAGGCTTGTAGAGTGCTCCTGGGGAATGGGGTGGGGCAAAAATGAGTAAAAAACGGCCCATTTTTTGTGAAAACAGGCCCATTTTTAATCAATAAAAGTGTATGGATAACCTTTAGGAAGCTTATAGAGTGCTGCTGGGGGCTGGGTGGCAAAAAACGGGCCATTTTTCGCCCATTTCTGCCCTCCCCAGCCCCCAGGAGCTCTCTGAAAGCCTTCTAAAAGCTATGCACAGCCATTTTGGGGAAGAGGTGGAGTTTTGGGAGGCAAAAAATGCTGTACTCAGTGTATAAGATGCACCCAGATTTTCAGCCTCTTTTTTGAGGGAAAAAAATGTGTCTTATACTCCGAAAAATAGCAATAGCAATAGCAGTAGACTTATATACCGCTTCATAGGCCTTCCAGGCCTCTCTAAGCGGTTTACAGAGAGTCAGCATATTGCCCCCAACAATCTGGGTCCTCATTTTACCCACCTCGGAAGGATGGAAGGCTGAGTCAACCCTGAGCCGGTGAGATTTGAACCGCTGACCTGCTGATCTAGCAGTAGCCTGCAGTGCTGCATTTAACCACTGCGCCACCTTGGCTCTTGGTACCGAAAAATACGGTACCTTTTCCACCACCCTCCCTGGAAAGGAGCCTGGAATGGACGTCCAGCAATAGTGTTTTGAGAGGCTATACTACATCCTCCTCCATGGCTAATGGGACCACCCCTCCCATAGAGAAGGAGATACCAGCATATGCATCCCATCACAGATCACCTCCTAGGCAGCCTGAACACACCTGTGTCTTCCTATTTTAAAGGGCTGTGTTTACTTGACCAGTCTTTTTAAGAGATGAACAATACATTTGTTGGAATTCCAATTCCTTTTTGGGTTTCATGTCAAGATGGATTGGATATATTCTTTTTTTTTACTCAGTCAGAATAAAATAACAGTCCTTTGTTTTAACAGTTCTTCGTTGGACCATTTTCTCAAGAGCACAAGATAATACTGGTGATATGTTTCTAGGCCAGTCCACAGTGAAAGGGATCTAATCAAGCTTCTCTCCTTGAGATGAGGAAGGTCACTTGCCTAGTGAGGGGGGTGGAGGGAGTTTGAAGCGAATAAGTGCTTGCCAAAAGAACTTCAACTGATTTATATGAACCATTCATAGCAGCAGAGGATCATTATGCTTTATGTAAACAGCCACCCTCTCTCAAGGGTTTTTTTTCCTACCAAGTTGAAATAGAGTATTCCCAGAGAATAGAGACAATTGGGGAATAACCACTATTTTACTACATTAGAAGCAAGGGAAGATAAAATTAGAAATTCCAATCTGCCCATTTCAAGGAGAAGAAAATAAGCCTCTGAGTTCCCATCCCTCATTTTAATTTCTACTGTCAGCAAGAAAGTGATAATAATGATGTCTAAGGGACTACTTGCCTTTTAATGCCTAATTTGTTGCTGGAAACATTTGTCATCCCAGTTGGCAAGAGTGCAGAAGCCTTAGCTAATAAAGAATAAAGAAATGGCCTAAATGATAGATAGTCTTTTTCCTAAATCCCCTCTCCCCCTCCATAGAGCCACCCCGCAAATTTAATGAGCAGAGCTACAGAGAGGGAGGAACATTTCTTTCTTTTTAATGCAAATTGAGGAAATCGAGATGATTTTTAGCCTTGATTTTCATAATAATAGTTTAAATAGATTTAATTTTATATTGACTTTAATCTATTTAAATAGAAATGCTAGTAAAATTTATAAATACAGACTTATCACTATTTTTATTGCTTTTTTGCATTTTATCTCGTGCTGATTAAATTAAAAGTGTCATGTATTATCGCTTCTTGTAGTATTGAAAGATAACATGCTGTTACTGCTGTGATACCGTATATACAGTGTATCAAATGACAGGCTTCATGGGCCAATCAAAATATTTTTTCAGAGAAATTGTTCCTGTACTTAGGAATGTACAAAGGTCACGCATCAAATGAGTAAGAAACTGTTTAGAATAAAATGGTAACCAATTCATACATTTAATGTAATTTAATATTAAATTCTCTGGCAGGGGTCTCCAACCTCCAGGCCACAGCTCACTTGAACCTTTCAGAACTGGGCCTCAGAAGTGGTGGGCGATTGTGTGTGTGCATCCCCAGTTGCTTGAGCAGCAGGCATTGCATGCATGTGCACTCCATTTGAGTGAGTGGCAGGCACACATACTTGCTGATTGCGCAAATGGACCTATGCGTGCTTGCCCGCCACATGCAGGGAACATTCCCTCCTGCCGTTCCACAAAGCTGGGGAACTCTGTCTCTGAGGCCTGACTTTTGGTGTAATCTGTATATTTATGTTGACATATATATTTGTTGCACCAAATATCATTGTACAAATTACATGCATTAATGTAATAAAAACAGAATGGATGCTGTATTTTTTCCAGTACTATAAATTGCTTGCTGACATTTATAATAAGAATCTAAATTAAAATATTAAAGACCCCCTGTAGTTGTGCTCAAACCTTGCCTGACTCTATGAACACATCATCTAACTTTCCTTAAAAATCTAAGAGTAAACCATAAATAGACCTATGAAGATTATTGTTAGAAGCCTGACTAATTGATTCTTGTGAAGATAAAATGAAATAGAAATACTTTACTGACGAATTGCCTCTAGAAGTTTGTTTTATGTAAATTTCCTTTTGCTGCATACCTTCTAATAAGAAACATTTCTTTGAAATCATCTGCTAAAATATCATTTCACAGCTATAGGTTGTTTTCATACTGATTCTGACAATTTCAAATTGCAATGAAGCCAAAGTTATATTTGAAATTATTCAGGTCATTTTTTACATTTTTTTAACTCAAAGAAGCCAGTATTAAAGTGCCACCTGCACAATAGTAGATGTTTCCATGATAAAGTAAAACTTTCCTTTTTTTTAACAGAATTTTCTCTTGTCTTTGCCATTGCATCCCATAACATGCCTTATATTTTTCCTTAATGTGTAACCTCTAAACTGCATTGTGTTTTGTTTGTTTTCTTTTGTCACTTTCTATACCATCAATTCCTTTTCTTGTCTGTTCCTCCTGCTCTCTCTTTTACTGTTTCCAAAAGTCTCCATGCAGTGCCATATTTCTTTTTCTTTCTCTTTGTTCCTTCCTTTCTCTCTCTCTCCCCCCCTCCCTCCCCCCCCTCTCTTTGTCTTTTAGTTTGCTGTTTTCATAGTGCACTTGCATCTCAAAGGTATTGAGTTGTATAATACAAGAAAAGCTGTTTACATGGTGGGGAAGCTTTTAAGTTTCAACTGGACAAGAATAATATTTTCCCTCTTTCCTTTTAATGTGATTTTGATGGGCTTTGGCTCTATTTCATGTGAAACTAATTCATTAAGTGCATCATTTATTGTATTGCTAACATAATGTCTGATGTTTCTGTTTACAATCAGAATGGAGAACCAAATTTAATCTCCAAAATATTGCTGAACTCTTAACTCCCAATATCATTAGCCATTTGAGATGTTTTTATACACAATGTTTGGTACATAATTTTGGATAAATGTTCCACATCTCACACAAATTGAAAGGGTTTGAAAGAAGGCAAAAGAATCTCATCAACATTACACAAACAGAAATAACAGAGCAAGTATCACACATAAAGTCTAATGCTAAAAATGCTTTGAAAATAACATTAGACTTTATGTGTGATACACCATAAATGTATATATGCCTTTGATAAAATATTTAAATTTCTTTATCTCTGTTTAGAGTTGATAGATATCACATGTACCTTGTTGTTGCTGAACCCAGATTTCACCACTGCATGGAATGTAAGGTAAGATTAGTAAATCAGATATAAAGACTTCTGCTGATAGCCTCATGTTTTAGACTATGATTTCATGGACTCCTTTCTTCTCTAAGTTCATACAAATTTATGAGTAATCATATATATTACAGAGAATCTTATTTCATGTAGCAATAGCACTTAGACTTATATACCTCTTTACAGTGCTTTACCGCCATCTCTAAGCGGTTTACAGAGTCAGCTTATTGCCCCCAACAATTTGGTTCCTCATTTTACCCACCTTGGACGGCTGAGTCAAGCTTGAGCCTGGTAGGATTTGAACTGCCAAATTGCAGGCAGCTAGCTGGCAGGCAGCAGAACTGAACTCTAACCACTGCACCATCAAAGCTCATAATGATGTATAATGATTTTAAATCAGTATATCTGTTCAACTGGGTGTAATAAAATGTGAATTTATATATGGATATTGTGCAAAATTGCATTTTATTTATCAACATTTTTAAAGTGCCTTTTGAATATAAAACTCTCAAGGCAATATGCAAAGCAAATTGTCAGCCCTGCTAGATAGGCCAGATTGGGAAATCAACTCCACTGGAAAGCTAAAAATACTTTTATAACTATAACTATAAGAATAAACTCTTGCAAGTCTGATTGTGCTTACCTTGTAGCCCTCCTCCTTAAACTTTGGTGAATTTGAGAAACATCTGCCTGAGTCACTTCCAAATCCTGCCTCCTTGTTCTCATGCAAACACAAATTTATACATTTGTGAAACTATTTTTTCAAAAACTATTTAGAAACTATTACATAAAACTGATGATGTTCAATTGTACATTGATATCCCAAGTCAAACTAGATGTGATATATAGATCAGGGGTCTCCAACCTTGGCAACTTTAAGACTTGTGGACTTCAACTCCCAGAGTTCCTCAGCCAACTAGCTGAGGAACTCTGGGAGTTGAAGTCCACAAGTCTTAAAGTTGCCAAGGTTGGAGACACCTGATATAGATTGGAAGATATAAATCTAGGGCTAAAAGTCTCAATAAGTAGAAACAAACTCAGACTTAATCCTAGCAAATTGAGTTATTGTTTCTTCAAAAATATTTTGGTTCTGACATGGTGCTTGCATTAGGATTGCAATCCCTCTGCAAGAGCAGGTTCTCTTGGACCCAATAGCAGGTTGGGAAGCCTTGGACCTGCTAAGGCTAGTGTGCCAGTTGTTGCCCTTTTTGGATGCCATGTGGGTCAATGATTTTTGTCTTTATAACCCAAAAGATTAGATTATCATTAGCATGCTCTACATGGAGCTGTTGAAAATGACTTTGGAAGCTATAGATAGTACAAAAGGTAGCAGACAAGTAGCTATCCTAAAATGTTTTACATCTCCAGTATAAATAAAAACCTAACATCTATCCTTTCAAGTATATTTTTGGGGAGTCCAGTACACCCTAAATATAACATTTTCATGAATCAATCTTGGTCTCAAATCTGTAGATTTTTAAGAACGTGAAGCCATTAATGGGACTTACAAGAAATCCCAGTTCTTTAGGCCACATTTTGAAATATCCCAGAATTGTCTATTTTTAAATTAGTCTTGAGTTTTTGGTAGAGATATATTAAAGGTTGGGAAGAGATGCTGAATAATCTGTCCAGTGAAAGATGAACACGGCATGAAGGCAGAACACAATAATTAAATGAATGAAAAGATTGAATCTGAATCCTGCAACATTGGCTTTTGCTACTTGTAATAAAACAACTCAATGATGGATTAAATACATGCTTTCTTGCTAAGTCTTCAGGTTTGATCTGTAATCACTACTTTAAATTCTGATCACTACTGTGAGTACAGATACTGCATTTTCTGTTCACCTTCTAAGAGGTTATTAAATTTCATTTATTGCTGTATTATATTTTATTTTTGTATGCTAATTAAGACTAATACAAGGGTAAAATTGTGTTTTAAGGGGTAATCATTTTTACTGAGAAATGGGAAATAATCAAAACTTCTATATTATAAATCATTCTGTTTCATGTTCTACTGAAGTAGATTGATGAAATATATTGTAAAAATGTCATTTTTTACATCTTAGTTTAATTTTAGTTTTGTAATTTGGGGGTGTCAGTTTTTAAATAATTTGTAAATAGTGATTAATGTTATTTATATAAGCCTGAATTATTTATTCAACTAGTTGAAAAATTGCATACAGACACATCAGAAATTGAACTCTATGTTGTGAATGGATCTAGGAGATTATATGCCAGTTGTCAGGCGTAGATGCATCCTCTTGCAAATGTATTGTATGGATCCTATGTTGCCAGATTCATTTATTTCTACATTTTAATATATGGAAGAATATAGAAAACAGTGATAACCTGAAGCAGCTCTAATTAAGAAACAGGTAATTAGTGAAAAGAACAAGAGACCACTGAGAGCTCAATGGAAGATGTTTCCATTAATTTAATGCATTCATTTGAACCCACATTTGCTTCTTGAAGATGGAAGATGGAAATAGCCATTGCATCATATTTTCCTAAACAGCAAAAATAATGCAAGTAGGACAAAATAAGAAGCATCACTCCCTGTCACATCCTTCACTGAGGGTTTTACCCAAGATGTACCTCTTTCTAAATGTTAATTCTTATTGTACTCTTCTTCTTGTTAGGGTTCTTACAGGAAAGCTGTTGGTTAACTTGTTACCTTTCCCCATTAAAGAGGAAGGACAGAAGCATAAAGATAAATCTCGGGGGGACAGTTAGCAGTGCTGAGGAGGGGGCATGGCCACAGGCTGAAAATGGGTCATAGGATCAACTTTGTGGAGACATGGGATCACCTTTTGTGATCTTCTGATGAGCAAAGTCAACGGAAAAGCCAGATTGACTTAACAATTATGTTACTAACTTAACAGTTGAACTAATTCACTAATTCACTTAACAACTGTGGCAAGAAAAGTCATAAAATGGTGCAAAACTCACTTAGCTATTTCACTTAACAACATAAATTGTGGTCATAAGTCGAGGACAGCCTATATATTGTTATGAAGCACTTCTTGCATATTAATCACAATTTTCATTTTGAAATCTATGTGTGTGTATTCAATATTTAGAAATACATAATTTAGTATTTAGAAACACACAATTACCACATTCTTATATGGAGGAGACTCCTTTCTGGGTCAATATCTGCTGAGTCCAGGGTGTCGAAACAGTGATCCTGGCTGATGGCTTGGCAGCACAGGATACGTCCTCCTGATCATCATCTTCATCTGATAATGAGCCTTCAGACCGGGCCAGGGCGCATGTTTGTGAAGTTCTAATATTATAAATCCGAGGCTTTTTACTAATGTTTAAATAGGTACACTGGTGGGTATCATGTATCATTACTTTTATTAGGAAGCAAGTTCTCGGCAAGTTATATTTAGTAGATATGTCTTTGGTTTTTGTTTCAGAAAAGAATTGATATTGTCTGGCACTTTAAACCCCATTAAAGACTTACATCTTGGGAAATTGGCACTTACCAAGTTTCCAAAAAGTCCAGAAACATGGATTCATAGGTTTGTGGTTTTACTTTTTTATACTGAAATACACTTTTGTGTTATCTCTGTGAGATCAGTGGCAGATGTCATCTGAGAAAAAGGGAAGCATTAGGCAGATCTTTGCTGTAGAGTATTTGCATGTGTGTTTGTGTGTCTGCATCTGCATACAAACATATAAGTATTTCCAGCATATACATATATCTGAATTCTTTGCAGCTACTCAGTAAATTAATCTTGTAATCATAGCTAATTACAAATTATACAATTAATTAATTGAAACAAATTCTGAGTAGGAAAAAAGAAGTCAATTGAAGCAGGAACGTATAAGAAAGTAGTAAGTTTACATCTATGTTATATCTGTTTGTTTGTTTAATATTGTGAAAAAAGGATGAAAAATATACCTTAGGTTAGAAATTCAGATTTGTTTTATTTCCATTATATACAAGAATTGTTAACCTGCATGCAGCTCCTTTGTTAATTTTTTTAAATGAACAGTAAAATAAATCAGGAAGCCATAATTAACTATCATAGCTGAACGGGGAACAAACCAGCATTTGGTGTATATATAGTTTATATAATATTTGCTCTGCATATGAAATAAATTTGAAACAAAGCCTATGGCTTGTTCAAATCATGACATCCTAAGTTTGGGATTGAATATGTGTATAGTCAGTATTCAGGAATTATTTGAGTGTCAGTTTTTAAAGGACTTATTGCCATAAAACAGGAGTTTATTGGTTGGAACTATTAACAAAGGAATTTCATTATCTTAGATAATATTTTATAGTATAATAGAACTTCTTTTCAAATATTTATTTTTGTTATTTATTGAGGAAATTTATATGGCTGTCTGACTAACTCATGGTGTCTTTGGAAGGAATATAAATATCCTTATGTGCTGTATTAAGAACTAATTTAATGACATAATGAATAAAAATCTTTTCATTAAATTGGCTTTTGCATTTTTAATTCTGCACAACCAGGCGATGGGTTCTGCAACATTTAATCCAGGAAAACTCCTTGCCCACTCTTGTGACTAAAGGGAACTTAGAAGCAACACCCACGGAAAAAATACAGCGGCTGGTGAAAGAAGAAATGGATGTTTGTTGTGATGCTGCTGGACGATATCCAAGTAATTATAATGCTTGGTCCCATCGTATCTGGGTGTTACAGAATTTGGCAAAGCTCAATACAAAGGTATGGATGCAATAGAAGTTGTACATACGTTGGCACATTTCTTGAAAATGTTTGCACTGAATTCAATTAAGTATGACTAACAAGTAATTGGGGCAGCAAGAAAATAATAAAAAGAATTGAGCTAATTCATGCAAAAAAATAGATTAACGCCGAAGTCACCTAGAGTTGACCTCCTTTGACAGAAATCAGTAGAAAAGCAAAATAGAATCAAAATGAAAGCTTCTATGAAAATAAATATGAGATGGCTGGGCTTCACCATTCTTGCTTCGAAGTTAGGCAAGCCTGGTTAGTCCTAGAACTTATGGTTCTCAATCTTTCCTTCACCATGAACCCCCTTTAAATACTTTTCGTGGCCACAGATTATGGGCACAGCCCCCCAAGACTTAATTGAAGATTTAAATCATAACATTTCTTCAAGCCTTTGTAGACCCCCTCTGATCACATCATGGTGCCCCAAGGGTCCACAGACCACAGGTTGAGAATGCTGCGTTACAGAATTCCAAGTCTTTTAAGATAAACAGAGAAGTTGAAAAACATTCTGGAAGAAATTACTTTTATAATGTTGCCCCCTCTATGTCACGAAATGACATAGATATGTCAATGAAATAACTAGGGGTCAAGCTTGACAAGAAGGCATCTTTAACATTACCATATTTTGTTCCGCAGATATTTAAATGCCATTTATTTTCATTTCTACTATCTATGATCTTAAATTTAAATATGAGAGTCAATTTGATGAAGTGGTTAAATCACCAGGTTAGAAACCAAAAGACTATGAGCTCTAGTCCCACCTCCACCTTAAGGCACAAAGCCAGCTGGGTGACCTTGGACGGCCATTCTGTCTCAAACCACTTCCAAAAATCTTGCCAAGAAAACCTCAGGGACTAGTTTAGGCATTCACCAGAAATCAACATTGACTCAAAGGTACAAAAAGTAGGGGGAGAAGCATATGTCAAAACAATGCATCATAAAAATGCAAATTATATATATATCGGTATAATTTCAAAGAGCTCATACACTTTAGAAACACGATAGTGAAATTTATGGTTGCCTTTCAGGTTATCTAAGCTTATCCTGGTTTAATGGATTAGCATGACATTAAACAGCTGGAATCTTGCTCACAGATTTTCAAAAAATGTTATTAACCAAAACAGAAATGCCTATTACAAAACAGCTGGTTCCACCTTTTAGAGAGTTACTAGAGTGTCATTTAAAGTGAATTCTGTGAACCAGCTGGAATACATCTTAAAATCTAAAAGTAAAATATTCTTACTGTATTTAATATGGTTGGTTGTATAGTCAGCAAGATGCTTAGACTGGATTTGGCATTTTTGTCCACCTATGGAGTCGTTTCCAAGGATCTGGGATGGGTAGATGTTGCACTTCGTGTAATAAAAAAATGTAATTGAGCCATAACAGATGGGATACAATGGGAGCCCTAGATTGGATAGGTAGATAATTCTAGATCAACTAAAATACGGTAGGGAATATACCAGTATATGGAAGTAGTGTTGGTTAAGGATTAAGTGCATGTATATGCAACTTCTAGGGTTCATTGCCAGTTATGATGAAGAAACATGGCAGTGGTGGAGAAATAACATGTTTTCTCTATGCCAGGAGAAATTGATATACCAGCACTGGTTAGGAAGAAGGAAGTAAGAAGCAACCCATATCAATTGGTGCTGCTCCTTCCTCCTAGGCTAATTGAGTTTTCTCATTGCTCACCTTTCCCAAATAATTATATATGTTTGGGTAGCATCTGTGTAAAGTTTGCTTTTGTTTTTAATTTGGCTGTGTTTTGCTTTCCATGTTTGGTATGTATCATAGACTTTTTACAATAGCACCACAGCTCTGCAGTGGTCCATAGTTTAGAGTACATTATCATGAAGGAAAATCTGAAGGAGAAAGCTGATTAGTGTTTATGTTGAATGCTTCTTTCTGTTATGTTTTTAATTCTCAGATTCTTCTTGATGAACTTTCTTCCACTAAACACTGGGTCTCCGTACATGTTTCAGACCATAGTGGATTCCACTACCGTCAGTTTCTATTAAAATCTTTGATTGTCAGAACTGGGACTGATTGTATTATAAAGTTATGTGATCACCCAACCAATCAACAAACATCCTGTTTTCCAAAAGATGAAGAAGATGAAGGTGCAGAAGCTTTTTGCATGGAAAAGCAACAGCCAGATCACTCACTGTATCTGAAAGAGGAAATAGAGCTCTGCACTGATTTAATTAACACTTATCCAGGGCATGAAACATTGTGGTATCACAGGTAAGAATATTTAAGGAATAAAGGATTGGAAGGGACAGTTACCCCATTCAAATCTGATGCACTTTTTTCCTAGTTAGGTTTTCCTTTCCTCCTCTAAATTGCCAAGCCTCTAGAACAAGTTTGTTGAGGATATATGAAAAATGAAAATATGATCCGTCACCAAGATAAATTCTACTGACAGATGGAGAAAATTATATAAATATTGTTTCATTGCTTTTTCAGGGAATTCACAGTGTTGTATCTATTGTATTCAGACATTATTTATAAAATGTAGGTTATGTTCAATTGGAGCTTAGACCTTCAACCTTTCTGTTATGCTCTATATTTAGAAGAGGGACAGAACATATTAAAATACATAAAAGTTTGATTTCCATATGTTTTTTTGTTCTTTAAAGGCGTCAAATCTTCTACCTTCAACACCACTTAAAGAAGTGTCCAGTTCCAAACAGCTGGTCATCAACTTCAAACAATAGTGATGGAACAATTAATAATTCACATCCTCATGTTACAACTGGCCATACCACACAAGCCATGGATGTTGACGGCTTAACGGAATGCAACAAACAAGGCTACAGTCAAGAAACCAAGCGCCTAAAGCGGGCTCCTATGCAGGACTGTATCAACGTGGGAGAAGAATATAAGTTCATCGATCACATTTTGTCTATGTATAGGGAGGAGGATCAGGCAAGGTTTGCAAGTTCATACAGAAAATGGCTAGTTTCTTTTCTAGGCCAGTGAAGATCTTTTAAAACTCTTAGGGCCTTTGTTTAGTGCAATATCCTCTTTACAGACAGGTGTACTTAGGACTCCTGGCACTTTTCACCCTTCTGTTATTCCTGCCACTGCTAAACTTCATTTACTAATGCTGGGTTTAGTTCTATTTATATTTTTAAAAGCCACTTTGTGTTAAATTTTATGGATCTTTGTAGGATAGCCCCACCTAAAAAGGAACTGTTTGGTGTTAATATAAATTAAGTGCAAATTTTAAACTCACTAATATAACTGGAATAATAGGAAAACAGAATGATAAATCTACTGGTGAACAATGATTTCATTCCTAAATACCTCGTCCATAATAAATAATCAAAGTCATTGGTCGGTGAAAACAATGGAAAATCATTCAGCATGACAATGTCAAAATGGTTTGGAGTACAAGTCTTCATTTTATAATTGCATTGCATCACTGCTCTTCTGAACTCTCTTTATTTCACATTTGAATTGCTCTGATAATCTTACAGTCCTGTGACTTTTTTATTATTATAGTGAAAGTGGGATATGGTTATGTGAAATTGGATAGTTTTGTAAAAAAAAATTACTAAACTAAAACTAACTAGTTCAATATAAGAACACTGGTATTTAGAGTATTATCTGGCTTTTGTGAATTTGGAGGCTTTCGTGAATTTTAAGGTTGTAAGATATGGAAATATAAGATGGTGACCAAGGAACAAACTTCTATCTAATCTTATCCCTACCTGCAATTTTCCTGGCACATGCAGATTTTTCCATTCCTAAAATATAAAGAGCGTTCCATACTTGGATTTTATTGTACGTGATGATATATATGATAGGTACAGGGTATGATAGACAATGCTGACTATCAATGTTATCTTTGTAATGATATTTCACTTAATGGACAATCTACCATGCACTGGGGCTCGTTCATCTTTCATTTATTGTAACAGGGCCACATATGGCTCCTTTGCAAGACCCATTTAAATCACTTGAGGAAGTACAGTGCTCAACAAAATGATGTGCTTGTTTGAGTTTTCTTCAGGTTATCCAGATAAATGGGGAAAGAAGAAATTGCAAAGGCAAGACTAAGCAGGTTGTTCGTGATGGGGGAGACAATTTCATCTGTGCTTCAGCTGGACTGAGTTTGTGAAGGCTTTCGAAGAGACTAATGGAATATGACTTGAAATCCATTTTTGCTTTATTTATTTGTAGTTTTAAGCTGAAATTCAAGTTAGATTTGCTGCAGTTACATTGAGGCAACTGTAGCTATTCAATTTGGCTGCCCTTTCATTATAGAATAAGGTCAAATTCTATCTTTAAATTTGCATTTTTACTTCCCAGAAAAAGCACATGGGATTTTATACACAATAAAACCAAATTCAAAGTCTGAAATTAAATTGCAGAGTATTTCTGTATTTTAACCTTTATTTATAGCTTGCAAAATACAGAGGGTATGTTTGCAGAGTTTACAAAAATATAACCAGGATGATTGAAGAAAAGTATAATTTTAAGATTCAGAGAAATAACAGTTGAAAAATTCCATTAGAAATGGAAGAACATACAAGAACCTGCCTTTTACAGCCCTAACTACATAATAAGGGCCTGTTGCAAGCAAACTGGAAGTTAAATAAATGAGCATAGCAAGCATGTTTTCTGAAAAGTGGGGTTGTCTAGAAATACAAATTCACACAGAAACATGACAGGCACCTCTAAATGCTATACATTGTATTTATTTAGAGTATAGATGCAACCTTCTGAAGTTGGATTAATTGCGAAGCCATTTGTGAACACTAATTTGACTGGTTCCTTTGAAGTCTCAGAATAGGAAAAATAGCATACATGAATCACATATATTTAACTATGCCTCTGGGCACTAGTGCTTATTACCATACATTAGAGGCACCTAGTAGAGCTCTGCACTACTAAATAGCAATATATTAAGCATTTAGCGTGTCAAAAGTCAAAATACTGAGACCTAATAACTCAACCATGACGCTAGTGAGGAAACACCTGACCACCTTATCCAATACCAAGTGTTTCTTCATCAAAGTTGTTAATTGTATCAATATAAGCACACTATAAGCACCACAGAGTATAGTCCAAGGGTGGTGTTAAGAATTCAGGAAGTGTTACAATGCAATCCTACATGGCTCTGAAAACGATGCACAAAGTGCCCCCACTAGAAGGGATTCTGGAGGATTCATTATTTTATTAATCTCACATTCTATCTACATTTTGTTGATCTGCAAATAAGTCAACACACTAGTATAAACTGAGTCATTTAAATTCAGCTTAGAATGAACTGAAGAAAGGAAAAGTTAAGCTGTTCCACATTCACTCCTCTGTCATGAACAATGCTGACCACCTAATTCCAAGTAGTCTGAATTCAACAGAACTCTAAACAAATAATCTAATTCTCCCCTATTCACACGTACATATTTAAAGGCTAACACCCCCACACCCACTCCCCTCAATGACTGGTGTTGGGATACACACAGTTTAACCAGTCTCTCTTCAGCTCATTAGGCTATTTTGCTCACTTAATAATAAATAATGCTTATTAATTGACTGCTCCTTTGCTGTTTGCTAGATTGCATCACATTTTAACCGGTACATTTTACTTTTCCTTATATAATTGATAAGAGCTTATGCTGTCTTTTTCTTAAATATAAACTGCAATTTTGTAGATATCATGGGGTACTTCAAAAATTAAATCCCTTTTAAAAAGTGGTACCCAACTCCCAGTCCTTGGCCCAGTACTTGTTGGGAACCAGGCCACACAAGAACCAGGCAAGTGTGCAAAGTTCCATTAGTGCAAGCAGCAGGTATGTGGGTGAAACCATCCTCTCCCCCCTCTCCCCGCTGCACTGCTGAGCTGGAAAGGTTAGGGACCGCTGCTTTAAAGTAGTAAATTAGGAGATCAACATAAGCAAACAACCAATAAGCACATCATTATTTGTGAATTGAACTAAAAATTAACTCTTCATCTCCGATACCTACTCAGATATAATTGCTAGTATCTTTGGGATGACAGTTGTACCCCAGATACCATTGAGATAGTTGAACTTTTACTTACTATGTATCATTTTTTCCCCCAGTTTCAGTCCTGTTTTGATACTGTTTGCGTCATACTAACCATCTACTAAACATTGTTTTACTTTTAACTCTGTATTGTGAAAGCAAAATACCTACTATGAGTACAGGTAGAGTACAGGTAGTCCTTGACTTACAACCAGTGACAATCGTTCAGTGACCGTTCAAAGTTACAATGGCATGGGAAAAAGTGACCAATTACTGTTTTTCAAATTTTGAGATTGTTGCAGCAACCTTGTGATTGCATGATCAAAATTTGGACACTTTACAACTGGCATGTATTTATGACCATTGCAGTGTCCCCGGATTATGTGATCTCCTTTTGCCACCTTCTGACAAGCAAAGTCAATGGGGAAACCAGCCTCACTGAACTGTGTTATTAACTTAACAACTTCAGTGATTCATTTAACAACTATGGAAAGAAAGATCATAAAATGGGGCAAAATTCACTTAACAACTGTCTCTCTGAGCAATATAAATGTTGGGCTCAATTGTCATAAGTCAAGGTCTACTTGTATTTCTCAGGAGGGGTAAATAGACTTGTCTTCATGAATGAAGAATTGAGAGGTTTGACTATTTCAAAAGCTTTCTTGATAGTTACATTAATGGGCTTCCCCACTAAACATTGCTTTACATTAATGTTTATCACAGGCAGAAAATGATGCTGATCCTTTTAATAAGGTCTGTATGAATGTAACCAACACCAACAGAAGCCATTGATTTTTAGCTTTATGTTTGTAGCAGTGGTTTTTCCCTGCTTATTACAACTGACAGAGTGTATATACATTGTTTTTAAATACAGTTTTAATGAAAGAATTAAAGGAGAACTTAAGCAATCTACTTCTTATGAGATATACTGTTAGCTCTATGTAGAAAACATCAGCAAAATATCAGAAAAATATACTTTATTATTAATTCACCTTATACCTTAACATCTGCTTTAAACCTGCAGTTCATTACCTCTCTATATCTTATCTGGAATATTATTTGCATAATAATGCAGTTTGTAACTCTTCTAAGAAAATTAAGTTGTCTGCCAGTATTAGGAAATGTCTGGCTGTTAGTGAACAGTTAAATCTAATAGCCTGGTGTGGAAAGTTGTTCAGTGGTTTCCATTGAAAAGAATAGCATTTTTGGATAATATCAACCCCCCCAAAAAATATCACTTCCATTCTTAGTTATTCTAGATATAATTGAACCTGAATTTTACAATCTTTTTGAACGGCAGAACTTAGACTGGTAACTTTTATTTGTCCTTGGAGTGAAAAATGGATGTGAATTGTACATGCACCTATAGACCAGTGTTTCTGAGGCTTGGCATCCTTAAAGGTGTAGACTTCAACACCCAGAATTCCTCCTTTTTTAAAGTTGCCAAGCTTGAGAAACACTTACTAGATACATTCCCTCAAATGACAGTGTTTCTGTTGGATTTTAAACACTTTTTGATAAAAAGTTGGGGGATCCAGTACTGTAAAATGTTTTGAGGCAGCTTTAATTGAACAAAGCCAGTACTCGTTGATGAGACATTTTTCTCTCTTGCTGTGTTTAATTTGTTGTGTCCTAAGTTGTTTCCTCCTTAAAGAGTATGGTGGTACCATGGGGAAAGTTGTCTCTTATAGGTAACACTTGACTACCTCCCCAAAACAGGGATAAGGCCATCTCTTCAGATGAGCTTCTTTTTATGTAGAACCTCATCCTTGGGGTTAAAAAAGCGAGAACTGTAGGAAGCCTATCTGATACCTTAGGAAGCACTTGTTTTAAATAGTTTTCTAAGTCAAAAAATATCAGTGCCTAGACTTCATTTTTCCATTTCCATAAACTGAGCACTCTGCTTTTGTCAAAAGAAAGAAATGACCACATGTGGTCAATTAATGCTTTCATTAGATAGTAAAGTCAGTAGTGAAAATGGACTCTTCCTTGTGATTTCTAACTCATAATGCTAATTTTACTCAGGGCATAGATTAACTAGTGCATTAAATACTTTTTACCATTATGTTGTCTACTGTTGTAAATTCTTAAATGCCTAAAATGGTATTTTATCAGTCTAGCTTTCTACCTTATTTTAAAAATGGCTTTTTAAAAATAACTTTTTTTAAAAAAAATGTTGTGTCTCTTCAGTTTTCTTTGTGTTTGAAACAACTTATTTTTTTCTTTTTATTTCAATATAGCTATGGGCACCATCTTAGGTTAAGTACCAGTCTCTTTGTACTGGAGGGTTCCTGCGATGAAGAGGTGAAATAATGTTTTATTTAACAGCACAAATTATTAGTTTCTTCTGCTCAATGAGACATCTTAACTGACCATGTCTTCTAATACCAAGGATATGAATCTTGTGTAGATTCAATATTATGTGATTAGAGATATTATATTCTTCTTCTAAGTGCAAACCTTAGCAATTAGATTGATATTTGTGTATATTTAATAGAATCAATTATTAGGAAAATACTTTTTAACATGGGGCAAACTCCAATGAAACTTAAATGTGTATGTTAATTAATATTTACTCTGATGTAAAACACACTGTCTTTAGTAGGTTTACTCCCAATATACATAGAATTGCAGCTTAGGGCACATTTAAATCCCATTTATTACTGTGCTCTCTAAAAGTAAGGCTTTAAGCGTGCTAAATATTCATACATACACAGAAATAAATCCCACTGTGTACTACCAGGTCTTTGTATGGAACAGTACTGTATTACATTTTAAATTGGTTAGATTTACATTTTGAAATGTGTGGAAAGTATTCAAGCTAAGTGTGGAATTAAACATAAGAGAGGAATTAAACACAATAGTGTATAACAATGTGCTTTTAAAAAGCTTGTTTATTTCCACTATACTGAATGCAGCTTACATAAGTAACTTTAAACATGAGTGAATTAAATGTTTTTAAACCTTAGAAGCTTTTCTGGAAATATTTTGTTGGATTTTTATTTATTTTTTTACTTTGTGAAAGTAAAGTTTCCTGCCTTGGTGCAATT